TCTGTTTGAGATTTGATTTATGATTCATGTGAATTTCATTAAGTTCAAGTTTTAAGAGGAAGAAATGTTTTTTTTTTCTATTGCAAAAAGGTATTATATTAAATTTTCATTATGAAATCCCAAGTTGATGGATAGAAACTAAACAGAATTTCTTTTCTGCTATAATTTACTTTCATTCCTCTGGCCTATCCTTAAGGAAAGTCTATTGACATATTTTCTATCATGTGTGATGAACATTATTGAAATTTCTAATATAAAAGAAAGTTCAATAAATAAAAAAATTGTTTGATAAATTTAAAATATTTATCCCTTTTGGTTCCAGTTTTATTTTGAAAAAGCTTTTATTTTCAAATTTATGACATGCCAAAGAATCAGTGAACTTTCAAGGCTCTAAATATATCCAACTAAAGAGATTAAACATCATGAAGAAAATAATAGAGATTTTCCATCAAAGAATATTTGGCAACTACATCTCGGACATCATTCCTTGAAGATGTGGCTGTGAAAATCTTTGGATGCTGCATTATTGTAGCCTTATGCTACAGTTAGCTGTGTAAGTACGTTACTGTACATAGATATTCACATGCAATAAATGTCACTCTAATAAGACAAGAACATAATTTATTATGTAGGAAATACTTAGAAGGAATCCTGATATTTTTCCATTGATAAACACACACCAAACACACTTTATTATATTACCTTATTTTTATAAAATCCATATTTAAATAATCTAAGATCACAACCACAACATATATAATCTAAATTCCACACAAAACATTCCTCAATGAACATACAGATACTATCAGACAAAAATAAAATGCACACTAAATGCAGACATCCACACACATTATAATTCCTGTATAGATTAACTAGAATTATACGCACAAACACTACCAGACAAGACAAGACAAATACATATGATATCTACTTAACCAATAAAAAAACAAACAACACAAAACTAAAAAGTACCAGAACATTCTCTTCCATATTTAATTTCTGATAAAAACTTAAATAAAAATATCTCTAAATTCTTCCTATTTGTTCTTTATCCTATCAAATAGTGATTAGTTCTTGGCTGAATTTTAATTTGAAATTTTCAATGCATAGTCTATAGGATTTGTTTTCATTTGCTTTTGGAAGGCATCTTTCACTATTCCATACACCTTCAGATTTTGGTGTCTCACTGTCTTCTATTGAAACTCTTCCTAGATAGTTAAATTGCACTTTTTTGATTTTTCTATCTCCAATTTGTAATTTACATGTTCGGTTGTTCCTTTTGCTGACAAATATGCATTTTATCTTCTTACAATTGATGTTTAGTCCTTTCTTCTTGCTTTCCTTCACTACCTTCTGTAAGAGTTCTTGTAGTTTCCTTTCTATGTCTGTTATCAACACTATGTCATCTGCCATATCTTATGTTTTTAAGATTGTCAATGCCAATAATGAATCCTGGTATCTCTCAGAATCACCTCACAGTATAGGTTGAATAAGTCCAGTAAGAAGATGCATCCTTGTCTCAGACCCCTTTGTATATTTACTAAATGCATTTTCTATCCATATGAAGATTGTTCCCATAGTCAGGCTATAAAAGAAATTAAGCTATACCTGGTGTTACAGCAAAATTGTCCATTTGTTAGATTAAGCTTTGAAACATTGTATCTTAGAAATGATTAAAGATATTTTGCTGGAATTCTCCAAAGATTTTATAACACTACTGGACTCTGCTTTGAGCAATAAGAATGTATAATTACTCTTCAAGCTTAACAGAAGAATCATCATGAAATTGATCATAAACAAAAAATGACATGTTCATCATTAATCATAACTAAGGATAGGAAGTTCATGAAAGATGAAATTGAGTTCAAATATATATATATTTCTAGGATCATTTTCCAACTTATTCAAGATGATCTTCACCCTCTTTAACGTTCTAACTTTCTGTCCTGGAGTAACAAGATGCCTCACAGGTTTCACGGATGATTTTATTTTCAAGTCTTTTTTCACTGCTCTTTGGACTGTCATAGCTGAAACTCCTTTCTCCCATGCCAAAAGTCTTATGGATTTTTCTCATTGGTCTCTTTAGCTCTGAGTTGAAATGATGATCCTTCTTTCTGTTGTGACCTCCTGATCCAGTTTTCCTCTCTGCTGTTCTCGCCCTCATTTTTAAACTTATTCACTGTTCTCTTGATGGTCCTTGAAAGGACTTTGTAGAACCCAGAATATAAATGTTGATACAATTACTGAAGGCCTGAATGATCTTTTTCCTCTCACCATTGCTCATTAGGGAATACAGTGGGGCTAACACAAAACAATTTTAACCTTTTCTCTTTCTAGCTGAATAACTGAAAGGGTTTTTCAATGATTCTTATGACAAATGGTGTCAAAATGGTTAAATGTCTTACCTGGAAAAAGGAAACTCAATTAGTCTAATGTTTTTTTAGATATCAAACATTTTGTGGGATGGACAATTATGCTGTTAAATGATTTGGACAATTTTGCTTTTACACCTGGTATATTGTGAAATTTTAATTTCATGCAATCAGTTTTTGAAGGCATGCGTGGCTGAATTATTAACAGAACAGAGAATATCTAATTTCAAACTCTGTGTATGACAGTTTGTATTACCTTTATACAAATGTCCTTGAGAATGGCATGAATTTAATTCTCATTTCACTGATAGGTAAACATCAGGGAATTTTGAGAAATTTAACCGTGTAATCACAATTCATCTACCGAGTTGGATAATAGGTTAGATTGGGGATCATTCCTTGCTGCTGGTGTAAGTCAGTATAACATGTTATATATAACTTGGAGAGGAGATGGGCAGTTCCAAATAGCCCTAATTGCTTTTGAAGATACTATGAATGAACATTGCTAGGCATGGTACCTTAATTTATCATGGAAAATATCCTTGTCCACTATCATTTTTTCAGATTGACTCTCTAATTCCTCATATCAATATAAGGTTTGGACAATTGTGTCTAAATTGTTCTTGTTGAGGAAATGTCAAGTTTTTTCAAAAATATAAACTGAATGGGGCACTAACTGATAACTGAATTTAAACATAGATCTCAAAAAGATCAATGACTATATTTATTGAAGTTTCTGATTAAATCAAAAAATGTTCTAGTCTGAATAGTTCATTGAATAAAAGTAATTTAATACTCTGTATGAGTCATACATAAATGTACTGTTTGAATAACTAATTTTATAATCTTTTTATTTAATATACTAATCCTGAAGATTATAAAAAAAAGTATCTATTTTAGTTTACTTACATAATTTTATTCATTAGTTTGCTGCCAAACTGCTTGCATTAATGTAAAGAGATTGCAAAACTTTTATTTACAGGACTTTTACTACATTTTAACTAACACATTCGAAGCACTTGGTAAATAATGCAAGTTGTGTAACAATGGTTTGCTTTTTGTATTTTACATATTATCTTTGATAATATAACAGTATATTACTTTGGCACTATACTCCATTTGAATATGATGTTTACTTGCCAGTTTTTAGTATTTGTTATTGATAATGGTACTAGAATATAAGTAGAAAGTTTGAATTCCTTAAAATGTCTTCAAACTTTGTAATTATGATCTGCAGCTTCTTTAGCTTTGTCATTATCTGGATGAGCATTGTTGAGTATTTGTTGGCTCCCCATTAAATCTCCAGTTTTGGCATATCTGTTCTTTGAAGATATCCTAACCCATGAAGAATATACAAAATTGATGCCAAATATTTTTTTTATACTTTAAAAGACTCCCAAACTGTAAATGGCTTTAAAAGTAGTCATTCATTAACGACTCTAATTTGAAACTAATTACCCATCTCAGTGAGTTATGTGATGAGGGAACTAATTCATATTGTTGCTTATAGCATTCCCATAATATTATGGCAGATTCATTCAATCTTTGGTTTGCTAGCATTTTCCAGTTTCCCAAATTAAGAAAAAAAGATCACCTCCAACTTACCATGTAGATTCTGCACCTGAAGAAAACTGAATGGATTTATTTTAATCATTTCACCCTAAGCGAGACAATAAAGCCACTAAGATGCAAGGGTTTACTAAGTGTGAAGATAAAATTGCTGTTGAGAAAGGACAATGAAATTGATGTTGCATTTAAATTCTTGAAAATTTTAGTTGACAGGAAAGCAAGAAGCTGAAAGAAAGTTCCACAGGCAAGAAGTATAAAAGAAGATACTATTAGAATAGAAGTTACAGTTAGACTTAGTCATTTTAACAGTGAAATGATGAGATCTAGTTGCCAATCTAGGAATATGCTTAAATTCATGAAATTGAGATACCAAAGAGGAGAGACTATCAGAGCAATTACCATGGAAGTATTTGTTGAAAAAGGCAGAGAGAAGCTTTGTTACAGTGATGTGAAAGTGATTGAAGCCAAGATGTCAGGTCAGAATTGATAACATTGCTGATTCTTTGGATTTATATTTGATTCATTTCAGAAGCACCAAATTAAATGTAGTGACAGTATTCAATTCACATATGAATGGGAGACTTATAAAGGTGTAAAATAGATTTGGTTGAGAATAATTGTCTTTCAGAACACACATAAAATGACAGTCTTAACTGTGGTAATAATAAAAGTAAAAAAAAAGCTAAATGATTTCAGTAATCATAAAAACTAGTAAACTGATAAAGACTGATGTGAAAATTATAAAAGGAGTAAATGATAAATTCTTTTCAGATGTGATATCAATGGAGAACAAAAAGCCATCTTTGTTCTAAGCTTTGTCTTTCTGAAAACATATCAGACATTATTTAATTTTTTCACTATAATTTGATATGGTATATTGTTTATTAGTTTCACAAGTATTTTGAGATTTTTTTTGTCACAATTACAATCATATAATACACATACATGTATCATAAGACCAAATGGTTTATCAATGGATATTTATGAAAAAAAAATTAATTTTCTTTCAATTTGTTATCTCTCCTGTCATCAAAGTTTTGCTAAAAGCATGCAGATAACTTATACTGCATTGACTTCTGTTTTGGGAGATGATAGGTTGTAGCATGTGGGAAAAGAAGGTGGGAGATGATAGGTTGTAGCATGTGGGAAAAGAAGGTGGGAGATGATAGGTTGTAGCATGTGGGAAAAGAAGGTGGGAGATGATAGGTTGTAGCATGTGGGAAAAGAAGGTGGGAGATGATAGGTTGTAGCATGTGGGGAAAAGAAGGTGGGAGATGATAGGTTGTAGCATGTGGGAAAAGAAGGTGGGAGATGATAGGTTGTAGCATGTGGGAAAAGAAGGTGGAGAGATGATAGGTTGTAGCATGTGGGAAAAGAAGGTGGGAGATGAAGGTGGGAGATGATAGATTGTAGCATGTGGGAAAAGAAGGTGGGAGATGATAGGTTGTAGCATGTGGGAAAAGAAGGTGGGAGATGATAGGTTGTAGCATGTGGGAAAAGAAGGTGGAGAGATGATAGGTTGTAGCATGTGGGAAAAGAAGGTGGGAGATGATAGGTTGTAGCATGTGGGAAAAGAAAGTGGGAGATGATAGGTTGTAGCATGTGGGAAAAGAAGGTGGGGAGATGATAGGTTATAGCATTTGGGAAAAGAAGGTGGAGAGATGATAGGTTGTAGCATGTGGGAAAAGAAGATGGGAGATGATAGGTTGTAGCATGTGGGAAAAGAAGGTTGGAGATGATAGGTTGTAGCATGTGGGAAAAGAAGGTGGGAGATGATAGGTTGTAGCATGTGGGAAAAGAAGGTGGGAGATGATAGGTTGTAGCATGTGGGAAAAGAAGGTGGGAGATGATAGGTTGTAGCATGTGGGAAAAGAAGGTGGGAGATGATAGGTTGTAGCATGTGGGAAAAGAAGGTGGTTAGAAAATCTGGGGTGGTATGAGGGCAGTAGAGTGGCATTAGAGCTAAGCAATTTGTTTTAATTTTTTTTTTACAAAATCTATATGACAAAGTCATTTGTAAGAAACACATGCTGTACAAAGAATAAAATTAACATAAGAGTTCTATGCAAATTCATAATTATGTTTTATTTTATTGTCTCAAGTCAAAAGTCTGGATGTTTCTTGGTATCTCAATGTCATTATTTGAACATGACAAACCAGATGCCAGCAAGATAAAGCAGCTAACGTTTGCAAGGGCCAATACTCTAAGTTTGTAGGTTTAGTGATATATTAATAGATGTTTGTCTTGTGATATTTTAACTGATAGCATCAAAGAAAAACTGTGATAAACCTAAAGTAAACATTGGATGGTATTGTGATAAATTACTTTTTAATTATGTATCATAAAAAAAAAATTGAAATCAATGTAAGACCTTGAAAAAAAAAGATTATAACAGCAATACCTAATTTTAAAATGCATTTTTAAAAAAAGAAAAATATTCTTTTAAATTTTAATTTTAAGATGATAAATTAAATTTAACAGTTCCAACAAGAAAATACTTCGGCTTGTTTCAAACCAAATCTAGAAGTCTTTTTTTATCAGTAAATTGTACAGATACATCCATATTGAGAAACCTGTGAACCTAAAAATTAACACCATTTTAAAATCTTTTAGATGTAAGGTATGCTTTTCTTAAATGTTATTCAAAAATATTACTTAATTTAAAGTTTAATTAGATTTAAAACAAATATTTATTTAAAATATAATGAAAATACATTTTTAAGAAATGGATAGTCCTGGGTATGATGATAAACTACATTTGGCAGGAAGGTCTCTGATTGGGAGGTTAGAAGTTTTGAGGAATGTGGAACAACGTTTTAATTGTTTGTTGTTCCAAAGTTCACTTTTATCCGGGATATATATTAGCACCTGTTAGAGTCCCAGCTATGGGAAAATAGTGAATGCCCAAACAAAAACAAAACACTATGAAAGTATAAAGATATATTTTTATAGTAAAAATACCAGCAATACATTTTTATATAAAAAAAATTACCAGTAATACATATTTGTAGTGAAATTATCAACAATATCTATTTATAGTAAAATTACCAACAATACAATTTGAAAGCAAAATGACCAGATATACATTTTATCTGTAGTTGAAGGACATACAAATCCATTCAAAATATATTTACTTGAAGCCATAAAACTCTGTTCAAAATATTTAGATTTTAGAAGTAAATAATCCATAGCAGTTGATAATGATGTTAAACAAAATAAACCAAACCAAATTAGTTATGGCTACACAAAAGCTGAGTATCATATATCAGTTGTGAAAGCAGAATAACATATATCATATTTTTATTACTTCAAAGCTACCAAGAAAATTAAATTTTGGCATTAAATGACCCTATGTCATTAAACAAACAACTCAATCAATCAATCAATCAATCAATCAATTTATGACATGATTTTTAACTAGAATAGTAAAAATGTGAACATGAGTTTTGGTAAAAAGTTCATGAATATTGTTTTTATTAACCTCCCTGCCTCTGTGTCTACCCGCTCTTACTACTGCTGATGACAGACATGGGTATGTGGGGTGGACAAACATGGAAAGATTTCTTGGTGTATTAAGTGATCAAGTAATGTATACTGTCAGTAAATTGTCATTTTATTGTCTTCCATACTTAAAAAATCAACAAGTTTCTTTATTCTAAACAAATTCAAAATTCTAGATAAAAATATTTTCATTGTAATTTTGTTAAATTTTAATTAGTTAATACCATTCATTTGATTCCATGGGACATAATAAAAAAGAAAATTTTAAAACTTCAAAAATGAAAATATCTGTCAAAAATTAATTTTTTAACTGAACACTTTGTACTGTCCAGAAAAAGCAATTAAAATATTTCCAAATTAAAAAAAGTGTCTTAGGTTTTTGCATTTTTCATTTTATGATTTAGGACAAATTCTCATTATACCATACATGTGAACACTAATGGGCATGTCCCAATCCTCATAAATACATTGGACACTAATGTAAGTGGGGGTAATATGCTGTCTAAGTAGTCCACCACTAGCAGTGGTTTACCTACTTCACACTGCTGATGAGTATTGTATTTTGTTGATGTAATAAAGATTAGCATTTTATTTCCAACCCATGTTTTGGTTATTCTTCATTCAATAACCTTTTCTAGGTTACAAAACTCAGTAATTGTGATTTTTCAATAAGTTTTTTAATTTTCCAAAGACTTAACAAGATAAAGATTTTGCAGAAATTTCTTAAAATTAAATGGTGTATATCAAACTTAAAACATTTTCCGAGAATGGAAAACTATTGGATATATGTTTGTTTACAGTTTACACCAGTTCAGTGATAGATTGTATGCATTATATGGCACTTCATTGATGATTGTGAGATCTGGTAAGCCTCATAGAATTGGAGAAGAGCTTCATCTGCTGACAGTAAGAGAATTTCTGCACAACGTTTTTCACAAATTATCTGTACAAATTATAAAAGTTATTTTTTTCTGAGTGATGGCTCCGTTCAAAGAAGTGTATATGAAATGATTAAAAAAAAAAAAAGAAACATTGTGCAGCATGCTTAGGATAACAGAATTTAGTTTATATTAGATTAGTCTATTCTACCAGACAATGAAGGTGAAAGTTTACTTTAAGAGTTGTTATTAAAAGACAACTAGAAACAGACACAAAAGAGAATTATTATTTCATGTTGTTGTGAATTTTTTAAAAGAGAAAAACATCTTGCTTACCACCATTCTTGCTTATGTAACAGATTGGTCTCCATCATTGATTGATTGTCATCATAGGTTTACCAGTTTCTTGAAACAAAAGCCATACCTGGTGTGTTTACAGTTCCCTGTGTAATCTATAGGCGATATCTGGTCATAAAAAAATGTAAGTGGTCAACTTCCCCAATTATCAAGCACTGTTATTAGAATATTAAATTTATTCGGGTACATACTCTCAGTTCATGACATTTTTGATAGTACTGTACTGGAAAAGATGAAGTTAATGGCTATCACAAGGAAACCGCCTGGGAAATTTCTATCCCTTTATTAACACACTTATTGAATTCTGCCAAGATTCTGTTATCTGTGATGAACTAAGATACATCAAGCATGACATTGCTTACATGTTAGATTCATTCAGAAAGATCAATGAAGTTAATTTGAAACTGTGAGGAAATGAAGTTAACCTTATCTTGGTCAATTCAATCGTCTCTGTGTTTCTTTCCAGGTTACAGTTATTCAGATGTAACATCATGGACTCTTCTCATTTCCATGCTTCTTTGAATTGGAGAAGGAAAAGCGTAAGCAAGACAATAACCTTCAATAACTCTGGATATACTGTAGATAGATATATTAGACAGGGGTTTTCAAGATCTTTACTTTTCTTATTAAAATACAAAACTAGGTGATCAATCCATTCTTAAATTTCAACAATGAGGAAACAAAAATGATTCTGAAAAACGTGGTTTCGCTTCAAAATGACATTCTGCAGAGGTCAAAGTTTAAAGAAATCATATCAAGTTTTTATCTTAGAATTTTTGTTACAAAAAACATTTCTAAATGCTATCCTACATTACAGAAGGAAGTCCTGGTATATTTTATTGCCTTGCTAACATCATAAATTAGTTAACATGGGGATCTAAGACTTCTTCTTAGTGCCTTCCAGGCTGATATTGAGAGAAGCTGATATTCCTGCATCAAGTATATCTGTTGGGATCCATCTGTCCAAGAATTTGTTTTTATCTGAGTGCTGAGATTCCAAACATTTAACAACAACTATATCACATCTTTTAAGTGAGAGATTAAAAAGGTTATTTTCTGAAGGAAGAGTAGAAGCAGAACGTCATTTGAAATAACATTTATATATTCTTTTCAGAAATATACAATAGCAATAAAATGTTAATTTTTCCTTCCACTGAAGTTTGTTTTATCAAGTAAGTGTTCTTAGTGCATTTTGAAATATGTGGACAAACTTACTTTATTTGTTTGTGAGTTCATAGACAAAAGCTTAGTCAGTGTGTGAAGAAACCCTTACTTGATGGCTGCTGTTGTCATCTCTTCTATTGATTGTGTGTGGATGTGTTTATGCACTTGTAGATCAAATTGGCCTCTAAAATTGTTTTGAGCTTCAAGAAGCACTATACTTCTATTTTTATATTTGTAAGAGGATTCAAAATATAATTTCACATAGAGGTGAAAACTTCTTGTATACAAGGTTTTTATCAGAAAATAATTTCATACTGGCTTGCGAAAATCTTTTTCTCGAATTTGCGGGAGTGATTAAGAGAGTTATTATTGTTATTTTGTAAATGGTCCAAAAATAATGTAAGTTAGATCTACAACTACGTCTGCCAAGTATTTTGGCAGTATTTGCTCTAGTAATAATTGTTTATGTAACAAACCTTCTGATGAGGTTTTATTGGTTGAAAACTATATCTATAGGATTTAATTCCTATACATCCATCCCATTAAAACAATAAATTTTAATCTCTTGTAATTGGTTTACTTTTTGGCAGACATGCACATGTCTGTTTACAATGTTGGATTAATGGTTGAATTTGCAATATACTTAATACCAAGAAAGAAGAGACTTCATGTAAGTGTCAGAGGGGGTTGCTAGGGATGTTGTCTGAAAGCCAAGGGGGCAAAAACTAGTAAAAGTTTAGGAACTTCTGGTGTTGTGCTGTAGGTCTGGGGCAGAGTTATATTACAGAATGTGAAGGCCAGGATGTTCAGCAATTGGTCACAATACCTTATGGGCGTCGTATTCTGACAGTGATGGATTGCTTCTGTCTGAGTGTTGTATATAGTCAAAACAGAGGGCCACAGGAATTTTAAAGCACTTCCTACACCTATTTTTCAGAGACAAGCTAAGACCACACACAGAG